TTTGCATTGGATTTTTTAAAAAGAAATTAGCTTTTGACAAAATTCAGAATGCTCGAAGCAAGTAAAGGTAAATTTTGAGACTAATTTTATGCCAAGTAAATTACTCTAAAGGGCAATTATCCTGAAAAAACTCTGCATTGTTTTGAGTCATATTAAAGAAATAGCCCATAAAAGTATGTTTCTAATTTATTAAGCTATATGTTACAATTTTAGCATGATTTGGGGGTGCTGTTGATACTATGTATTAAAGTAACGTTGGGGTTTTACGTGTAAGACACAATCTTGCTCCATTTTATAAAAATAATTTTTAAAGAACTTACCGGGTGGAAAAAAAAAACGGAGAAAAGTGTTTACTATGGGTTGTCATGCTCTTTTGACACTAAGACTAAAGAACTATGAAAACTTTAAATGAATGCTCTTATCGCAAAGAAATGGTTTAACTTTTTTAGAGCTATCATTAATGCAAAAATTGTAACAAAAACAGAGCAAAGTGTTTAACTGAATGATACTTTAGATGCATAAAAACCATGTTATTGTTTTATTTCGTTTCTTTCAAGCAAACAAACTGAAATATTTTCAAAAATGCGATAACAGTATTTTGTTTTAATCCATATGAAATAAACAACTTCTTTTTTATTATATTGTTAATTATGGGACACCGTGCATTTTTTTTATTTACTTAAATAGAATTATTTCAAAATGTTTCCACATTTTGTGTAGTGTTATTAAACCGTTTTCGTGATTTAATTAAAAACACCCTGTATAATAATTATATTGTATTTTTTTTCGTTTTATTGACGTGTTTTTATTAATGTTAAGTAAAATTTATTGGCATTACAAAAAATTCGAATTAGTCAAACACCTAGGGGAACTTAAAATAAGTAAATTTTAAATTCGTAATTGTCATCTCAAAAAACCCTAAAACTTCCAATTTTTGTTACAAACGCTTTTTCAATTAATCATTTTGTTAGTTTAGAGATTGCCTGTTCTTTATAAACCACTCGGTATATTTCAATTTTGGCGTATTATTTCATTTATCTCGTTTACGTAAACGTAAACACCCCTTAAAATTTATTTCGAATTTATTTTAACATGTCGCTATTTTGAAACAATACCGGCAGGACAGCAAAAAAAAAAAAAGAATATTTTCATTTAATTAGAAAGATGGACCAAGAGAAACCGCTATAGCTATTGTCTCGGTGACGAAAATGTCAGTTGCTAACTCTCCGAAATTTTCGATCTTAAATGTTGAATATTGATTTGATTGATTGATTGATCTAATTTCAATTTTAATTTTCTGGTCAGAATAGCTTTTATTTTTTTATTATTTTATTTATTTTATTACAATACCACAAAATTGAAGTTCAATTAAATTAATTAATTAATTTAATTAAATTAAATTTAAATAACTAATCAACTACTTTAGTCATCAGTTGAGAGCTATCGGATGTGTCGTTTATAATACTTGTGATACTTTGCGAAACCTGGTCGGTGCGGAAGGGTTGCGGATGAGGACTAAGTGACCAAAAATAACAGTATATATGATTTTTTTTTCGATGACAACTCATTATTTCTTATTAAATATATTACAAGAAAATCGAACTTAATACTAGACTTTGATGACTTTTTCTTTAAACAATATTTATGGTATTTCTAATCCATGAAGTCTTCCCAACTGTTTCCTGAAAGTTTTAACTTTTTGAGTTGCTGAGCGTCCCTAGCAAACAAATCTCAATCATTTTCCAGTATCGATTATAAATTTAATATCTAGTACACTTTTAATATATTATTACCTAGTTGCTTAGCCATTTGGGTTTTCATAGTTTTGCGATTTTGGATTTGCAGATGCATTGTTATACACGGACACTATCTAGATTATAAACTGAACAAAAATTGGTAGACCTCTTATCAGGTCTTAGTCCTTAACCGAATGAGGAATAATTAATCTAGATATACACCTATTATCGGAGACTGCCCGTAAATCTGCATACTGATCTTTCAGAAAATATCCAGGGGAATGACTAAAAAAATATTTATCTATCTATAATATTTTTTTATTATTTCCAAACTTTTTTGTTTCGTATTATCAATGATTTTAAATATGGTTGAACTTTGAACAAGTAGGCTTTGGTTAGTAATGACGTTTCTCGAAGGACCATTTGCACCATTGCACTTTTGGTAAGTTTTCTCAGTTCTTGTTAGTTTTATTGCAGTCTTTAACTTTCATGTTGACGTGGTAAAATTGTTTTTACCGACTCCTACTATTAATTAGGTTGTATTGTAATCTGCCGAAATTGTTTTTAAGAGGTTGTTTTTGACGACAAAAACAAACAATTTATTTGACAACTAACCAAAACTACCAGTACATAATTATTATTACCGCTCATTGAAAAAGGAAAGTATCATGTATGTTATAATTTTTTTTACAGGTAATTTCAAGTACTTTTCATTGATTTAAAAAAAAAAAACTTTAAACGCTACTGTAATACTATTTACAAATCTTCTAGAATCCTCCTGCGTCAGTTTTAGTGAACCTCTGAAGAAGCCAACATGATAATTGGCGAAACGTCAGCAAGTTTAATTTATAAATAACCGACCCAGGAGGAAGCCAGAAGACTTTATGATCCAACAGACAATCATATTTTCCGTTTATAACTAATTAACTACTAATTATAAAAAATATTATATTGAAACTTTTAAATTCAATATTAGAGACCAATGATGTTTTTTTTACAAACTAGTTTTCCAGATGCTACCTATAGAAGCGGGAGTTTTCAAACCCTAAAATTCGTCAAACCTCCCTTTTCTCTATAATAAAATTCCTTTAACAGGACGGATATGACAAAAAGTGATAAAGAAAATTTGCTTAAAAACGAAATCTGCAGAATAATAAATAAATAAAAATAATAAATAAAAAAATTGAGAATAATCAAGATTATTTCTCAAAAGTGGTGAAGTATCCAAATCATCCCCACTTATTTCACCAAATGTTTGATTTGTTTATTCTTTCTTCATAAATGAAATTTCATATAGGATAACAATGCGATATGACGAATCGAAAATTTAAACTTTTGGCCATTTAGCACATGTCCTGGTTGTGTGCCGCGAATTTAATTCATACGGACGGGAGTGTTATGATTTGCGAAATTGACTGGAGCCTTTACAATGAGATTATAGGGGCGCTTGATTTATTTTTGTTGTCGCTGTTAATTAACCATGTAATATTCGACAGGTAATTTTCATTTATAATTTATGCCTTGCACGTCGATAATTTTACCTAATGGTGTGATTTTCAAATGGTGTAGTTTTGTTTCCATGGAAATGTGCATTGTATTTACGTCGTGTCATTAGCCCAAAAATTATGGTATTCGGGGGGGTATCCAAAAAACAAAGAACTACGATGGACTCACGTTTACCCGTACTCAATATTGTAAAATGATATGAGCTTAGCGCTTTTAAGTTAGCTGCAGAATTTTAGACATTTTTTTAGTGACTTCTGTATATAGTGTCATTAAGAAAATTTATCCGAGTTTAGTCCAATAACTTAAATTTAGGTTTCTATCGGAATCCGAAATTGAATGGAGATGGATGGATGCGTTTATGTTCCTAAGTGATTTCATTGCAAAATCTGTTTTTCGTTTTGGACTTTAATAAATTTTATGGAAAACCGCAAAAATTGCTTGCCTTTTTTTTGTTAGACATTTTGATAGGCCAACATCAACTAGCTGACATTTAAACAATATCTATGAAGCCCCACAATAACGCAAAACCCCAATTTAAGGGTTTTTTTGCTGACGATGTCTGGACACGTCACTTTGTAAAACCGCAGAGAGCTTGAAGCAAAAATCAACGGATTTTCATGTATCTTTAATGAAAATGAGGGCAGGGAAAAACTTCTGTAACTTTGTAGTGCAATCGCATTCGCAAATCTTGACTCTGAGTGAAAAGTTGCGGCTTCTAAATTTTAGACACACGGAGTACATTAAAAAAGTTCAGCAGTATCTTGGGGTGGAGGAGTTTGGGGATTTATTTCTTAACCTCGCCCAGGCAAAAATTAACCACTTAACGACCACTTAAGTGTTAAAATTCTGCGTAAGTCCTTTAATACCTTTCATATTTTCATACATGCTTTCGGCTGTCGATGTTATAGTTAAACGTTTTGAAGTAAAGTCGTTTCTTTTGTTGCTACGAGGTTAGCGCCAAAATTTCCTGGCCTGACATAGATGCGGCTACAGTATCACGATAAAACTTTGTCTTCTTCAAAAAATTGAAGTCTTGCGTCAAATAGTTTTTTATTGACAACATTTTAAACAAGACGTGTCCGAAAAAATGTCGCAAATAACGCAAATTGAGTATAGAGCCAAGAAAATTCAGAGTCTAGCAGTCAACAAAAAAGGTGATGGCCACGATCTTTTGGGATTGTGAAGGAATCCTTTTTATAGATTTTAAAGAAACTAATACCACTGTCAATGGTAAATATTACGCAACATTATTACATAAATTGCAAGACTGCACACGTGTAAAACGTCGAGGAAAACTAACCAGAGGCGTGCGTCTTTTGCACGATAATGCACCTGTCCATACTGCTGGTGTTGCATAAGCTGCCATTTTAGAGTGTGGGTCCTAACAGATAGATCATCCTCCCTGTAGTCCAGATATGGCCCCCAGCGACTATTATTTGTTTGAATATTTGAAAAAGGACTTACGTGGACGGCGGTTTAACGACAAAGTTAAGTTAAAAGTGGCTGTTTTAGTTCATTTTGCAGACAAACCAAAAGAATATTTTTTTAAAGGGATTGAGTTGTTAATAAAGAGATGTAATAAGTGTATTGAAGTTAGAAAATTAATAAAAAAATGTTACTCTACTTTGTTTCTTTTATATTCAGGCCGGGAAATTTTGGCGCTGCCCTCGTATGTTCCATATTAGCAGTAATAAATTGAATACCATGATTTTTGGGCTAGTTTCAATGAAACCAAGTTTTAATAAGACATTTTTTCAGGTTTACGCGAACGGGTGATAATTAAATCTTCACAAGCACATTGTTCAAATTTACTAAATGACGCCTAGCGGGTGGTGTCGGTTTGTTTAGACGAATTGTAATCTGTGTGAGTGGCGTTTTCGAAAACAGTCGTGATTAGTGATCCCGAGGTAAGGCTTTATTTGTTTTTAATTCCTTCATCTTCACATCAAAACTATTTTTTTTCTTATTTTTTTTTCATTGGGGACTTTAAAATAGTAACTACTATATATACTATACTATAACGAACTTTGCAAGTACGTTTCTAATCTGGAGCATTCAATACTCTGTATTTATTATTGTTAATTTTACCATAAAAAGAGTTGCTATTTCGGAATTCAGAGAAATAACCTGCATTGCTTTATTATATATAGTAGCATTCTATTTCTCTCAAGAGTATTTTTTATTTCCTCCATATTTTTTGGGCTTCCAAATTGAAATTTTCATTGTGTCGAAAGCGATATGATAGATATGTGTCCCTTTGAAAGTAGAAATCTTCAGATTTTTATTAATCAGTCAGCAGTGAAATTCGACATGTATGTAACAGTTAGGGACATTTTGGTTTCGTTTCACATCACATAGCGCCCACAGAAATTGCTTCTTTAAAGTATTTGGTTTATTCCCATCTAGTCCGATAAAAATTGGCTTTTCGCAGGAGTTTAAAACTTAACATCGTGCTGCATCGATAAAGTAAATATTGAGCAGTGGAAGATGCAGCACCACCCGGGCTCGTGGTATCTGCCATGGGGCGTGCCCCTACAGAAAATGGTTGCCGTGCCGATTCACGCCGCCGGTCATCTACCGTTACAACCACCAACTCTTCACATGCAACCCATGCTCACTGGTTTACCCGCCCCGTTGGCGACTCTTAGGACTTTCGTCGCTCAGCCCGCGATGCGTCAGCAACCACAAAGAAAGGTAAGGTTTAGAATTTTATTTTGTGTTGGCGTTGTAAGTCCTCATATTTCTTCTTGTATGAAGTATTTATCAATCTATCGAAAAGTACATTACCGTTTTCCAAAAAGTCTAGAAATAATATCTACTGATGCCGGCTCTTGGAAGATGTACTGTCTATAGACTTAAACTAATTCAAAGGAGTACATAAACCCCATTTCTTGACATTTTTACTTTGATGGATTTATTTTATTTATTTATTTTGCAGTATTATAAATCACATATACACACAATGTAAGTAAAAAGAACTTTATACTCGTCATCAACACAAGTAAAAATGACCTAATATATTCCATCGATACGTTGGTAAGGTTAAAGAGATCATTTGCTTGAGCAGTGACCCGCCTCATTTCTGATTTACTAAACGTACAAAAACGTATAAAATGTGACAGTATAGGTAAGTATAAGAGACATAAATATCATTAAAGTTCTAGAGAACTTAAATTGACAGTTCAACATTGTATCAGTTTTTCAGTTACTTAAAAAAACCCTAACATGAATTATTAAAGAAGTGCTATAAATTTTTCTAATTCAAAATAATTTAGCAATACAAATGAGTTAAACTTAACTAGAGATAATTGTTAAGTAGTTGCCTATATTATAGGAGTTAAGAGTAAATTTTAAGCTTGTTTATTAGTCACATTAATACGAATTCAAATCAATATGAGGGTCTCCTGATGAGATTTGAGAGTAGTCGAATCGGTGGGTCAGTAATATTCATGTATAACCTAGTAGTAATAGAGTGTTTAGAACTGTTGTTTTTATTCTGTTGGTCTATTGGCACGTGGAATAAATACTTGCATTACTGTACAACTTGTTTGGAATACTGATTTAACGAATTCAATTGGAATACTTCGAAACATGGCTGATTTGGTTCCAGCATGCACCCCGTATTTGCTTGCATTATCAGAACTTAATTATACTGTAGATTAGCGTATATAACTGTGAACTCTACATATAAATGTCAATGTCAAAAAGTTTTTTCCTTTTGAATGTTGCTAGAGACCATCGAGATACTCAAAAATGTTTTGAAATCACATCAAAATAGCAGTACCAAAAGTAATATCAAAGTTGAAATTGTGATTAGTTTAGTTCCTGGATGATAAAAGCATTAAACATTTTGGAAAGTGGGTATGGTGGTATGTATTCTAGACAATTCAGGACATTTTGAACATTTAGCGCAATATTCCAATTTAATAAATATATTGCAAAAAAGTTGTACAGTCAGCTAAGACCCATCCATGGTTGTAACGCTAATCTATGATGATGATGTTGATATTTTTTGTTGTTTATATATATTTTATGTATAATTCATAATGTTTATTTATTTAATTGCGATCAACAGAATTCACAGCCCAGTAATAGATTACAAACAGAAATTGTGTTTACATTAACAGCAGGTTATCGCAAAAAAAGAAAGAAGTGAAACTAAGTTCCTTGTATAAATCAAAAACATAAGCATAAGCAAAATACACATCGAAGTGAAATTTACAGATAAAACTTTATACAATATTTTAGGGTTTAAATGCTAATTTTTCCAAGTGGTTCTGGAATGAATTAGTGGAACCACAGTTAAAAATGTTCATTTCTTTTTTTAGACTTTTTCGGTAAATTACATATACGGAATAAGGAAGGGTTAACTCTATTTGTGAAATAGTGGTTACAGTCGAAACTGCTTAAGAGGACAATTTTATTTATAATGAACTAAGTTAAAAAAGAACGTTAGTGCGGATTTCTTCTTATTTTTTTATTTCCTCAGCATATTTTTGGTAAAGAAGAGACCAGTCCAACAACGCATACTCCTCAACTATACTTCTTACTAGTATGTTGTACAAGGTTTCAAAAGTTTTGTTGAAAATTTTTTCCGTTCCGCTTTTTTTCGTGTAAACATATATTACATGACCAAGTAAGTGAAGGTTTTATTCATGACTAATTCTGGCCATAATGTAAAAAATAATTATAACGTTTTATGTATGTTTTAAATCAGGATAAATTATTAAATAATATACAAAGGGTTCCAGTTTTTAAAAAAGTAACTTCAATATCCAATACTTTATTTAAATCGACAGATTAAACCCTACAACTTCTATTATTAAATACCAGAGTAGGGTTACATAGACCAGTACGTAGAAACATTCAAGTACCTACTTATTTTTAACTTCATTCTTTCGACTTGAGCATCGCCCCTTACCTGGTATTACATTAAATTTAAAAGTCCCATTCAATTACCGACGGAGCCTCCAATAAGTGATGAGTTTTTTTTTTTCATATTGAAATTGCACCTTGGTCTCTTTAATCAAAGTGACACAAATGCGAGTCGATCACGGGAAATAACTTCGCCCTTCGTGTACGGGATGTTGGGGGAGGCAAACAAAAGGTGGTTGATTTAACACGACATCCCCTAAATTACGCAACACAAACACAGATTTTTATTAAGATATTTCCCTTAACGAGACACGAGAATGCTGATAATGAAGAGGGTCGTCGAAAAACAACGCGTTTCAAACGGATTTTATTTTGTTTTAGGGTTAGGGCTCGTCGTGGTAACAATTATCTTAACTCAATATTTTATTATAAATTTTTTACCCCGGAGGCAACGTAACAACGGTAAAAACCGAAGGTGAAGGTCGGTTATTTGACGTCCGTCTTTTTGTTAATTGCTTTGATTGGGTTCTCTAATTATGGGCGTACTAAATTGATTGTAACATTTAATTATGCAAATTAAAGCACTCAGTGGACCCGTAAGGTACATTAGATAAGAAATAAAAAAGTCTCTTAAGTTTATATATTGAATCCGGACGTTTTTTGTACTGCCGAAATTCCCAAGTAACGAGGCAGTCCTCCGCTATTTCATTAATGACGATATGTCATGTCGCTAACTATAAATTAAGATGGAATAGAAAATCACATAGCTTGCTCGGGCAATTTTCGAGTATTCAAGTTCAAGTACGTTCTTAGCAAGAAGAAAAATTTCTTTATACAACAAAGAGCATTCAATTTAAATGCCAAAAACTATTAAAAACGAATAAAAGCACAAAACGGACGTTTTGTGCTTTTATTTTTCGTTTTTAATGTGCATGGGAAATCGCAGAAAACATAAGCAAACATTTATGCTTGTGAAGGATAGAATGAGTTTTACATAATTTGGCGGTAGCTGATAGTGTCATATATAGGATCTGTCAGCATTTCTAGCTTACAAAAAAAATCCCAGCGCATGGCCACAGACCACAAGAGAGAAAAGAATACGTCCCTATCACATAGATCTCATCGCAAACACAGGCGCTCACAAACTCTTTGATTCTAATAACATACTAAAAACTAAAAAGAACTGTGTGGTGTTGTAAGCACTTTAAAGATTAGATTCATCATTGTATGAAAAATTTACAGTTAAGTAGAGCAAAGCTAGAACCATTAGTATAAATACCCTTTACTAGAAAGTTCTAAAATTTCTGCCAGGACTTAATCACTAGTTGAAAAAATAACTAATCTAATTAAAATTAAAATATCCCGTTCAACATTTTGTGCTATACTGTAAAAACGAAACTATCAAGTGTAGAAAAGAAAGCGCCAGAGCAGTGTTTATACAAATGAAGCTCTTTTTCTGCTGAGATCTCATCATGGCCTCACGAGGAAAATAATAAAATCCTGTTTTTTTACGGTACTGCTCTATGGTGTGGAGGTTTCGACGTTGTCTGCAACCACAGAAATACGGATTCAGAGAATTCCTTATGTTGATAGCGTCACTAAGGAAGCGGCTCTAGTTCTTATGTGCATTAAGAAACGACTGCTAGAGTACTTGGGTCAATGGGTTGCCCTGGGCGATACAGTCTGCTGCAACTGTTCCTGCAGGGCAAAAGTAGAAGAATCGGGTAGAAGGAGAATATCCTGACTCGCCAACTTAGTGAAGTGGTTTGGCGTAACTTCCATTAAAATGTTACGCACTGCATAGCATAACATAGCCATGATGATTGCTAACATCCGGAAAGTATAATGCCTAAAAGAAGTTGAATTAAAATTAAAAAAGAGCTAAAAAATATGATTTCACCATAAATGAATGAGGTCATATATATATTTATTTCAATTCTGAGAATGACTCTTGACTCTCGCAATGTTCACCGTTGGATTGAAAGTATTAAGAATTATACAAGCAAGCTGCGATTATATTTCTATTCGTAATCTTTAAGCCGATTTTGCTGTTTTGAAAAAAAGTCTACACTCGATATGAAAACCATATATTACGTATTATGATCGTGAGAAAATGTATAAAGGAAAATTGTGTAACGAAATGTATCATATGTATTTTTCGGCCGAAGGTCAAAACGGTCTGTTGTAAAACGAATGCTTTTATGTGCCTTTTGTCCAGTCAAAGGTTTTTACCGAAAAATCTGTTTATAAAACTTACCCCAACCACTTTAACGTTCGAATTTAGATTTAACCTCGCGTCCAACGAGCATATAAAATGTGAAATTTGTGGTTTTAAATTGAAGCTATCGATTTTTGTTTGCGATATGTTTGTTGGGGACTTATTTAAATTTATTGTTGTCGACTTTACAGCGCCTGTGATATATTTAAACGCAAGCTGTCTGTTTCGCTACTGTCAATAATTTATCATATATTCATATCTTTTTTGTTTATTTTCGTCGCCCTTTTTGTATATTTAAGCACCTAATAGGTACCACTGGCTTATAACATGCAGGGTAACCCAGGTCTAAACCGTCACACGTGTAACATATGTCCTAACTTGATTTGTTTTCGAAATACGCCATGATAAATTTCTTTTTTATTAATTATTTAAAAATCTTTTCTTTATATCGATTAAACTTGTGTTAATCGCAGTGGCCTCACAGGGGTAATCTTATTTATATTTATAGGAAAACTCAGTGTATGCTACTATATGGTAATTTAATATTTTTTGTTCATTGAGCTATTCAAAATACAGTTTTTTGGCTTTTATAGTTTTTTCG